TGATGAATTAAAATTTGATGAGAAAATTTTTATTCATTATTTTTACCTGGTTTCATATTGTGAATAAAACCTATAACAGCAACAACTGCTGAAATACCAAGAAAATTATGAAAAGAAAAAAAGTGTAACAACTACAAAGATTTTTTTCAGTGTTTATAAAATGATTATTTCCAAAAATTATTTTTGATATTTGTTTCTGAAAAGAAATAATATTCTGGATTTTATCAGAAATCCTAAAATACATAATATAAAGCCAAGTTAAAAAAAAAAACTTATCAAAAAAATAGTCATTACATTGTCTAAGAAATAAAACCATATTGAAAGGTAGGATTAACTGATACATATAATAGCACTATTCTGTCAGTAAACCTTGTTTTACTTTCAGACTACTTATAAATCTTTTTTCTTGATTTTGAAAGCTTTTCTATAGAGTTTGTCTATATTTCTGAGATGAGGTATTATGTACAGTATTTACATTAGTCGGACTATTGTCCTCATCTTTGTCGCCATATTTGTCACAACGTTTCGGCCGTTGTACGCTCCGGCCTTCTTCAGCAAAAGTCATAAGTGGCGATCCAGAGACGTTAGATAAGGAATTGGTCAGTATAAGTAGTACCCTACAATGCAACAACTACCCTGGGTACATGGCAGCAGCCCCAAAAACTGGGATAGGCGGGTACAAGAGGAGGAGGAGGAGGAGGAGGACAACAACACTCAGAAAAACAGTCTGCCTGCCTTATGAAGGGGTTATCAGAGAAAATACAAAGGATCTGCGGTCCATATAACATCAGGACAACCTTCAAAAGCGTGACAACACTTCGCAGGTATCTCTCACGAGTGAGACCCCCACAGAGAGGAACATGACTAAAGACTGTGTGTACGCTTATCCCATGCAGCTGCGGAAAGGAATATAAAGGAGAGACAGGCCGCCCCTCAAGGTAATGCTTCAAGAACACCAGAAAGCTGTAATGCGAGGGGAAGTAGAAAAATCAGGCGTGGCTGACCACATATGGAGAGAGAAGGAGATCACCGCCCCTGTGGGATCATGTTGAGATCATAGATAGGGAACACCATTGGAAAATTCGTAAACTTAAGGAATCAGCACATATGCTAGGCCACAAAATCTCCTGAGCCGACCAAGCATAGAAATAAATACAATATGGGAACCAGTAATAAGGAGTGCCAGAGAAAAGCAATGATAACAAAGTTGCAATATGAACTCTGGTAAAGACATGCAATGATAACAGCAAAAATTGCAATATGAGCACTGGTAAAAAATGATGCTGAAAACATTAGGTTTATAATACTCAGAAGTTCATACCCAGATGTCCTCAAGTGGATAAAGTGGATAAAGGCGTTGGTTAGATCCAGTGACAGACCCAAAGAAGGTGAGTTCAATTCCTGGTTAAGGCAGTGGAGAACTTTCAGAGGGAAAATTAGCAGGAGATAACTGATAACTGACATCCAACATGGCACGTGGAATTAGAACAGTTTACCCCAGCGTTCGAAATTCCAACCACCTGAAGAAGGCCGGAGCGTACAACGGCCGAAACGTTGTGACAAATATGGCGACAAAGATGAGGACAATAGTCCGACTAATGTAAATACTGAGCTTTTCTATAATCAAATAATTTACAATATATATACATATAATAATAGCTATATTCTGTCAGTAAGAGATCTCATTAATTTCTGACCACAGACAATCCTTTTCTCCTTTCCAATAAACAATATTTACATTGAAAAATATTTTGATATTTACTTTAAAGCTAAATAGGAGAGTAGCAGTCAAGCTGAAAAGCGAAAACAAAAAAAGGTGAAACATTGTCTATAAATACCAGGTTCAAATGCAGCAGCCTGTATTTTATTTAAAATACAATTGTCATTATTTTTTACAAAATTTTCTACTAAAATTTGTAGAATTTCAGCAATCTGTAAAAATACACAATATTTTCTTGCATCTCATCAGGTATTTCATACACCTGTTGAAATTTAACAAGAAATAAATAATCTAAATTTTTATTAAAATGGGAAAGCCATTTTGTATTTTAAGCTTACTGAACATTTTGTAGCACTTTGTATGTAATCATTAGAATAAATAATCTTTGATATATTTATTTACTAAACCTTCCTGTTTATTACAATGCTAGAATTTGAAAAAAGTTTTAAATGGTTTACTTGCATTATGAGATCAGGTAAAAAAAAGTTAAAAAGTGACCAGACCCTTTCCTCTTCTTCACCTCCCTTGTCTTTGCAAAATACTTGAAGAAAAAAGGGGGAGAGGCTAAATAAATGGAGAAAATAAAATGCCCATGCACGTGCAACCGAATCTCATGCATAAATATTACCTGGTGATGTGAGCCACAACCTGGTAAGGGTAAGCCATCGGGGCCGACAGGACAGGGAGCATCTAAGCCCGGAATTCCCTGCAGTATCGATTATTTGTAGGTAGTAGTAGGAGTAGCAGTAGCAGATAAGAATCAGTTTCCACTAAGGTAGTCCTTATATTGTATGTAGCCAGGCCGAAAAACACTAACAAACCACACCAAAGATTAAAAAAATATGTACCTTTTTCAAATTTGAAATTAGTTTTTTTTTTTTTTTTTTGCTGTTGTTAATTTAAAAAAAGAATTTCTCCTAATAATATTGAAAAGAAAATCATTGTAACTAAAGAGAGGAATTTTAGTTTGAAATCTTCAGAAAGATATGAGAAAAGGGATCGTAAAATGATCTGAAATGTGGCCCTGGTTGAAATGTTGTAATAAAAAGTAAATAGGAAATATATGAACTCTTAAAATAAAGCATGTTTTTTTTTAGTAAAAAAATATATTTTTATTTTATTGTTTAAACGTTATTTTTAGTGGATGCCTATATTTCAGTAGATGCTCTGTTTTTATTTATTAAACAGTATATTTATTTATTTCTATCTATTGGCCTGAATATTCAAGAAAAATTATTAAAAAAATAACCGTTCTCTGGCAGATCTGCATCTTGTATATTTTCTAATATTCAGGTTGGTAGAATAAAATAATTAAATATACTGTTTAATAGATAAAAACAGAGCATCTACTCAAATATGGGTATCCACTAAAAATAACATTTAAACAATAAAATAAAAATATGTCAAATTAATAAATAAAAAATCCATTCCTAATATATATATATATACACACACACACGTTTTATTGAATGTAACAAACAAGGAAAATTTTATAAGCTTTTTATTTAGTTTTTCTAGAGTTCATCCATTTTCTTTTAGTTTTTCTTTTCTTAGTTCCCCCAAAAGAAAAACTGTCAGAACATTAGAATAAACTGAATACACAAACTTTCCTTGTCCATAACATTCAATAAATGATTACTTCCCTATATATATATATATATATATATATATATATATAAATTTTCATTTTAGAGGCAAAAACATATTAAGTCCTTGCAGCCTTCCCTTTGCAAGCTGGAGGAGTATTTTTAGACCTGAATGTTGTTTACCTTTGTTATATATATATATATATATATATATATATATATATATCTTGTTTTTTTAGTTTTATATTCCAATTTTATTTTTTGTAAATGCTCTTTTAGTCCTCGATAGAACTGAAAAGTGAAAAGCAATAACCAGTCAGCTTTTATTCCTCTCTTTTTGATTTAACAAAAATTTTTGATGGTTTCTGTATGTGTGTGTGTATATATATATATATATATATATATATATATATATATATATACACACACACACGCATGGTGCACTCCTGAAGTTTTGAGAATTTTTCTGGAGAGACATTTATTTCAAAACAATACAAAACTTTAATCCCCTTCAAAATAGGAGCCCCCTGACTTCAATATCGTTGTTGTCGTACTTCAGCTACTTCATGTGGGCCCCAAAAGTGAAAGTGTCATCATAGTCTCTTATCATCTCCATGTTCTCAAAAAATGTTAGTCTATATACAGTCTTGATCATTTCATAGGTTTATGCTGAGATTAGCACAAAACTTTATTAGAAAAAACAAAATTTCTCAAAATGTCTCAAGTGTACCTTTGTTTATATATATATATATATATATATATATATATATATATATATATATATATATATTTTTTTTTTTTTTTTTTTTTCTTTGTTTTAATATGCCTGATGCCAGAAAAAAAATGCAAATATTTAAAATATGTTATCTTCGGATACATCAATAAATCCATCACCTTATGATGAAAAACATGTATTTTACACAACAAATACCTATTTTTCAACATATTTCATTTGTGAATATTAATCATATTGACCAAGCATTATACAATGAAAATTTCATATGAAAATTCAGCTAAGTACATATAAATATTAGCTAAATTCTGATCTGAAATGATCACTGTATAATGTTAGACCTATGTTATTAACATACACAAATGAATATATATATATTTTTAATATTCAACAATGCAAAAAAATTTTTTTGCAATATGGTGATATTTAAATATTGACAAAATAGCTTCTTTAAGGAGTGAAGGGGACTAATTTCAAATTTGAAATAATTGCTTGAAGTGTATTAAGTTGATCTGCATACATGCATAATTTGCTGCAGTGGTTAACAATGAATTCATTGTTTATTTTTCTAGAATGAAAATTGTCAGCAAACTTATGGCAATCTCCATTTTCAATTATAAAACCAATCAGTTTGGCAAGAAAGAAAAAAATCCAGTTGTTAGATCAGACGCAAGTTAAAAAAAAAAAAAAGTAAAAAGCACACACACGCACACATGTGAATTAGAGTGACAGACCTTGTGAACTTTAGTGTTAAAGTTTTGACAACAAAACACAAGAAAAAGAAAAATCATCTTTTTATTGAGAGCAAATTGCTTGATGAATATGAAACAGGTATTATTAATTTAATAAAAATATTTCATTGCTTCAAATTTTTATTTTTAGATCTGATTAATCAATTAAAAAAAGTTTAAAAATAGTTAAAAAAAAAAAAAAAAAAACAAACAAAAAATGATTTACTCACCTGGTCTCCTTTTTCACCTTTTCCCCCTCGTTTTCCTCTTCTACCTCTTGGTCCCTGAAATTTTAAAAATCATCAAACTTGTCTGAATTTCTTAGATAAATCATTATTATCATTACTATTGTTATTATTATTATTATTACTATTTTTTATTCTTCTCACAGATAAAGAAGTAACTATAAGTCAACTAACAAATACTGAAAATACCACAAAGAAGTGAAATGGGAGCTACAAGGAAACTGATATTTATAATCAGAAAGAGACAGCTGAAATTACTGGGACACATAAGGAAAGAGGGCCAGGGGAATTTAACACTCGCATGACATATTGAAAGCAAAATAAACATGGAGACAGGGCAAATAACCTAATTGGAAGCAGAACAAAGACAAAAAAACGGATAGTAAATTGGCAAGTAATAAAAGACAGGAAATTGTGGAGAGCCATACATGCTCACATGCTGAAAAGACAGAACATAAAAGAAGAATCCAACTAGTAGTAGCAGACATAATAGTCTTAAGTTACTCAAATTTCTTAGATGAAGCATTGTCATTATTATTAATTTTTAACTAATTTATCTTTCCTTTTACTGTTGTTGCATTTTATTGCAACACTGAGTTCATTTTTATATTCTATATTCTTTTATTCTTTTTATATTCTTGCAATTAAGCAAACAATACTGACAAGAAACAAAGAAGTTACCTGTGAAAAGTTTTGATATTGTATCATTTTTATCTATGATAATCTATTATTCAAACCACAAACTACATCAAAAATTGAAAACTAAAATTGAAAGGAATTTATCTAAGCTTGACCTAAAATTTAACATCTAAGAGAGTGACTCATTACACCTTCTTAGGCTAAAATTTCTCTCTGTATGAAGTGGAAAGATTATATTGAATCAATTTCTAGGTCTGCTGTTAGGAAAGTTGGTTCACTGTGTCTTGTTAGTCAATTTTTCTCTCCAGAATCTGGATTACACATTTATAAGTCTACCATTCATCTCTGATATTGAATATTGCTGTCATATCTGGGCTAATACTTCTGCTATGCATTTAGAGATTCTTGATAAACTCTAAAAAACAATCTACAATGTTATCAGTCCTGAACTGGCATCTCAGCTTCAGTTACTTTCTCACTGCCATAATATAGCTACCCTGTGCTTTTTCTATAAATGTTTTCATGGTAATTGTTCGGATTAGCTTTCCTCTTTGGTACCTTGACTTTATAAATTTAAGCACAGTACTAGATTGGCATATAGGCCTTCTCATTTTACAGTTGAAATAGATATAATGTAAGTTTTATGTTGACAGTTTCTTCTCTTGCACTTCTTGATTGTGGAACTCTTGCATTCCAGTCAACTCTGATCTTCAAAAATTTAAATGAAATGTCAACTGATATCTTTTGTCTTCTTAATTCCTGTTTTTATGGTTCTTTCTCCTTGATAGCATTTTTCTTTTTCTTTTATTCTTTCACTTTCAGAATAGAATAAAATAGAACAAAACTATTATTTTTCATTTGAAAAAAACAAAAACATTTTTAAATTAAACTTAAAAATTCTAAATTACCGTATTTCATGGCAAAAAATAACCCCCTCAAGTTTCAGCAGAGAAATTAAGAAAAAAAAATGTTGGCACATTTACAGGTAATAATATAACCCCTAAAATCAATGATGAAAAAGGACTTTGAGTAAGTAAAGCCTGAAAGTCTTGGCAAAGATCATCCCTCTTTGGACATTGTGGATTGGCATTACAGAATCACAAAGAACTGTATCAAATAACAGAAACCATATTGCTTGAGGACTAACAACAGCAGCAACAACTAAAATGGATTGCATATATAACTCAAAGAGAAAATAATGATATAATCAAGATTTTAACATTGCAGACCACTTCAAATAAAAGGTTAGGAAGGAGGCTCCCATCAATATTGGAAAGAGTGATAATGGCTACTAGACTTGAGAAACCAGTTTTCTTAAAAAGTGTTTTAAGAGAAAGCTTTCATAAATTCCACCCTACAGCCATATTGGCTGCTCAGTCAATGAATGTCAAATGTTTCCTTGTATGGAAATGGATAATATTAACATTAACTTCATATATAAAGCTTAGGGCACATTTATTCTGGTATATTTTTGTGAAAAAGTTGGTCTTTTGTACCATATTTGATGGCATATGTGTTTAAATTGTTTTATCATATAAGGATTTTTTTCTGAAGATGACAAAAATTTGTAAGTCAAAAAACTTAAAAATGTAATTTGAGTTAAAATAACAAGGATTTAAAATTTTAACTAATATTTCTTGAATTGTCTCAACATTTTCAGGATACACAATTTTATTAAATATTAATGTGTTTATTAAAACGTTTACATTTCAAGTTTATTGAAAGTAGAAAATAATATCAAAGTTTTTTAATATAAAAGTGAAAACAATGCAAAACATAATATGATCTTTGTGCTTTCTTACCGTGGGTCCTGTAGCACCAGTGTCACCTTTTAAGCCTTTTGGTCCTGGGGGTCCCTAAAAATAAAAAAATGGTTGGAATTGTTCAGTTTTCTGAATTAGATACAGATAAGTAATTGAACTGCCTCTTGAGTTAGGAGATTTTTGAGCTGCCACACTGGATTTGGTCTTCATGGCATCTTCAGAGCAAAGAGAATTACTTGACAGTACCAATCTTATGAGGATGTGCACACAGTGTAGCAGTTATCAGCATGGAAAATGAGATTGGTGTGTCAAGTTCAAATCTCGGTCAAGACAGTTGTTTTACTTTTTGTGTAAATACCTTTGAAAAAGTATGAATATATCTCTTCAACCTCCAGCTTAGAGTAAATAGCAGGGTAGATTGGGATCTATAGATTTGGTTGGCAACCAGTCTAGTTTTAATATGTGGCTAGCAACTCCACTCTGTAAAATTGAACTTGTTACAGAAATCACAGCAGCTCTCAGTCTTGTAAAGCTGTAGCCCTGTACTCCACAGGGAAATCTACAAAGCTACCACCCCAATTTCTTGAAACTGTTTCTGGTTCCTTCTAAAGTCTTTCATCAGTCTCTTTCACTCCCAGTCACCCCTTGTGACTTAGTGGTATTATCACCTTGCTTGGGTGAATTTTATATTATATATATATATATATATATATATATATATATATATATATAATTATTTTTATAAAAAATTATAACATAAGTATGCTATAAAATCACTACAAAAATAGCCATTTTGATAAGACCCTCGGTGTCTTATCAAGTGAAAATGGATATTTTTGTAGTGATTTTATAGCATACTTATGTTATAATTTTTTTATAAATAATAATTATATCTGCTCTACTTTGTATTGAGCACTCTTTTTAAGAATAGTAATTGTTGGTTATTGGAATTCATTCAGTATATACCAATTATATATATATATATATATATATATATATATATATATATATATATATATTCCTTTTAAAGTTTACTTTGATACTATATTCCTAACATCTCCGACTGAGCTCTGAAATGTTGTTTGCTAATTAAATCTTGACCTATCAAGTCAAGAATTAGCAGTTATCTTTATGCATACCCCTGAAATTCACTTCTTGCCCCAACTTATTAGCGCTCTAGCTTAAGTGGCTCTTGGGCTTTGTATTGGGTGAACATTAGTATAAAAATATAACTCAGAAAGCAGGCTAAAGTCTAAATGATATATAAGCATGAATACTTTAGATGATCACTGAGTGCTCTAGAAATTTGGCCTTGTACAAAATTAAGCTTACTAGCACAAATAACATTGTGATAACACATCTTAGCAAAAGGCTCTCTATCTGAGGTAACTAAGATATTAACTGTCCTATACTGTGTAAAGTCTATCTAATAAATGATGCTCTCAGGGTTCTTCTCAGAGGTATTAAGATAGACTAAACATACCCAGGCAGAGTGGGTAACTGTTGCTAACATGAATTTCCATATAAAAAGTGGTGCTGAAAAGTTCATGTTTTGGTCAAAAAATCCCCAAATCTGACTAAATATCAAGCTTTTCAAAGAAGAGTATCTTGGTTGGGCTATTAATTTTTCAGCACTTTCTCATATTGTATATAACTTAAAATGAACTGGCGCTGAAAAGTTTCCAGTCTGGCCCTTTCCAAGCAGACCAAATATTAAATTTTTTAATCCTTTCTTAGTTGGACAAAGTAATTTTCATTACTCTTCATATATTATTTCCCTGTTAAAAAAGAAAAGCCAATAGACATTTTTGAGAGTATAAGGGAGTTCTGAAAAGTTAATGGCCTGAGAAGAAAGCCTTTAAAAAAATTCTGGTCATTTGGTCAGAATTTAGGAAGTGGCTTAAGCTGAGTACACCTCTCATAAAAATATAACACTGCATTCACATCCATTGTGAATAAATTCACATAATTTCACTGTTGTATTTTGTTTCTGTAAATAAATATTGTTACCCTTCATCATGTCTTTTCGTATATCATTTGTGTTGCATGGCAAAAAAGAGGAATACATTTTGATCAAAAACCTTCTGATATTTATATAAGACAAATTTCTAACTTTTGTCCTTCCCACCATCCACAACAAGCTTCAGTTTAGAGGAGTAGTAAAGAAATATTAAAACAAAAAAATTGTCTGAAATTAAAACAAGAATTAAATCAATAGATTTGTGTTATTTTGAAAAAGTATTATCAAGCCTTGTGCATATGTAAGTATAGTTTCTCAGTGCCATTTTTCATTCTTTTTAGAATATGTTCGATTGATTTTTATGGCTTATCAACACTTTTTGTTTTTTAAAACTCAAACATATTTTGGATTGTAAAAATAATTCTTTTTTTTTTTTGCAAGTGAATATTAACAATTTTTTTGAGAATAACAATTATTTTACCAGATACAAGTCTTACTATTTAACCAATAGTTGGGGGAAGAAGATGATTCATATTTTTCCAAGTTTATTTGCATGTAAGTGAATGTAACAAACTTGACTGAAATTTGAACTTGGCTCTTTGATTTCTCATTCTGTTCCTCTATCCATTACACCACCCACACATCCTAAAACCATAAAGATTGGTACAAAAGGATTGTTACCTGAGATTTTGATTCCTTCTTTTGCTCCATCAGTTTTAATATCAGTCGTTAAAATCTGATAAATTATTAAAAGCTCTTGGATAGTTTCACTGGGTTTTTATTTTTTAATCTTTTACTGCAGTTTGTATCTTTAGAATTGAATAAATAGAAAAATTTTGGCAATGTTTAACCTTCATGCCTACAAAAATATGGTGCATCAAAAGGACGGTTATTCCCTTGACACCACAGTAAATGAGAATCGGTTCAACCTGACAAAAGACCCAGAGTTGGTTGTGTATGGTGCAGTAAATACCAGGAGTTATGTCCTCTTCCACAATTGGCTGTCGAGAGAGGACATTCTACTTAGAGTAGGTGGTGCTGACAAAATTTGCATACAAACGATACCGGACACCTAGGTATTAGCCAATAGTCAACGTGGGTCTTTGACTGAGAGAGCTATATAACACCAGCTTTTCCTCAATTGGGAGGAAGCACTCTTGATGTGCAGATGACCAGAGTTTTGTGTTGGAGTTTACATTTACTTTACTTAAAAAAAACAGACAAGATGAACACAACTGCTATTACTGTATACACTTTTGACTCCCTCAGCAATTTTTATTGTTTTAAAAAGTCATGATTGGAATTTTAATAAAACGGAAACATATGAAAGTTGATTTATGCATTTTCTTTATTCTTGAGAACTGACAACAAAGATATTAAACACTATTTATTTATTAGATTGAATAGAAAACTTGTTTTCATAGTTATTTATAAAATGGTAAATAATAAATATTGCATTGTATTTGATTCACATATTTATAGTTTTGTAAATAAACATTACTGAGGGCATCAAAAATGTACACAGCAATACTAGTTGTTTCAAGGGAATAACCATCCTTCTTGACACACTGTTTTTTTGCGAGAATGAATGTTAAACATTGTCAAGTTTATATTGTCTTTATTTTTCTTTGATTTTTAACTTTATATTCTTGCATGTCAAATACAAGTGCCACTAAAATTAAATTATTTTCTCTCTGTCATGGTGCTTATTTCATATGAGATGCTTATTATTTTTCTAATAATTTTCTTCACAGCATGATTATTTTGTTCCAGAAATCAAAAATTAGATAATTTTTGAAAAGATAGTTTTTCTTTCCTCTTTCTTTTTTTAAATAGTATTGAGAAATAAAATCATAGTTGGACTTAAAATTTGGACACTTAATTAAATTGGTTTGATTGGTCATCTGAATGACTAATGGGAAGTCATTTAGCAAAATATGACAGCTATTAGATTAACTTTTAAATAATGTGTAAATGAGTCATTTTATTTTCTATTACTCATTCTTTTTTACTATTCTATGTGAAACTTGGTTTTTATATACATAATAGTTATGAGATAGAACACCAATATGTATGTTAATGTCTGCAACACAAAACACATTTTCTCAAATTTATATTATAAAAATGTATTAGCAAGATAAGGATATCTGGCATTATTTTTCTAGGCATAAACAGCAGAACCATATTTTTAAATAAAATAAAAATTATCTGAAAAACTTGTTTTTAGTAAATTAAACTGCTGAAATAAAGCAATGTTTAATAAGCAAAAATTGTTTGAAAAAACATTTTTCAATAAATTTCACAAAACAAAAAGCCAGAAGAAGATGCAAAATACAATACCATAAAAAAAGCTTGAAGCACCAAAAACGTTTTTAATAGAGTAAAATTTGTAGACATTGACAAGCACAAAAAAGCAGAGGTTACATCAATTTGATTTTATGTATGTTTTTATTTAAATAAAGTCTTTGTTAAATAGGAATTAATTATTTTCAAACAAATATTTAAAAAAGAAAATCCATGCAAGTGAAGAGCTAAAAATTCTACTTTTTTTAATACAGGTAAAAGTCCTGTCTGACCTTTTAATATGACCAAAATCTTTATTCATATTTTCAGTATCTTTGTGTTTTATCAATCCATTGTACAGGTTTAAATAGTTGTTTTGTCTAACCTTTTAATACAACCAAAATTTGAACAAAACAAATCAAATCATATTTGCATTTTGTGTTTCTCTCAATTCATGAAGATGAGAAAACATTGTAGTTGCATAGGTGAGTCAGAAGAGTTTTTTTTTAATATTTTTTTAGAGCATAATCTAATCTCTGATTTATGAGATTACATAATTTCACCAAAGGTCATGCTCTTCTGGTTTTGAAAGCATACAGGTCAGACTATAAGACTTAGACTTGCATTGACAATTATGTTAGTGTGTTTATAAGACTGAACACTATGAGCTTTATATTTCTAAGTCAACCCCAACCACTATATTCCATTATATCAAAATTTCTCTTAGTTTTTAATATACATTTAAAAAACAAAAACAAGCTTAAAACTATATACAAGGAATACTTTACTATGTAAGATTGAGACATGTTGCCCCCACAAAAAAAAGTTTTATTACTTTAAGTGGGTCCTAGCACACCCTTGTATATTTTCTAACCAATCACTTTTCACTGTGCCTTGCTCCTTCCAAGATCTATCATCAAAAGGATTCCTAAATCAACTACTGGCAATAAAATCTCCACAAACTATTAAGACAGTCAGATGTTTTCAATAGTCACCACCTAGACAGATGGATTTTTTTATATTTACCAGATTTTTCCTCCACAATCTCTTTAATCAATATTATGGTTGATATTGTTTTCTAAATTCATAATAATGATGATAATCCTTCCTTAGGTACCATGTGTTATTCATGCTTGGGCAATCAGGTCTCATTCTGATTTATTTCTGCAGTAGACTGGTCACCAGCCAAGCATATAGGACCCAGTCTGTCCTGCTATTTAACCTATAGCTGGAGGGAGAAGAGATGGATTCATACCTTTCCCAAGGGTATTTGTATGTAATGAATTTAATAAACTTGACTGGGATTTGAACTCTGTTCTTCAATTTCTCATTCTGAGCCATTACCCATCACATCACCCACACTTCCAAACTTACAGCACCTGATATTCCCAAGTGGTCACCCATCTAGGTACTGACCAAGCTCAATGTTGCTTAGCTTTAGTGATTGAACAAGAACTGGTGTTTCAATGTGATATGGCTGTAAGCCAATGATGATGGTATTATTATCATTAAGAAGAAGAGAGCCTGAAAACCAGCTATAATAGAAAGGAAAGAATACTTGTTACAGAATATGTCGGTTGGTCTTGAATGGCAAACCACTGGTCAGAACTCTGATGGCCTAAATTCAGAGGGGATAGTTTGAATCTATTGGGTGTGGAATTCTGACTGTGATGTTTTGCCTTTGTTTAAGTTTTAATATAAGACTAAAAAGGCAAGTAGACAGCTGTAAGAGTTAGAAAGGACAAGATGTCTTGCTGCAACAAGATTCCTTATTGAGGCAGGCCAGAATGTAGTGATGAGATTTTGATCAACTGGTTGACGTGTGTCCTCCCTATCTCCCTCCTGCTTCCTCCTAGAAATGCTGCTATGACTACTGTTTCTTATAAAATAAGATAAAAATAAAATTGTCATTTGTTGACACAGCTGATGATGTAGCATTGGTATATGAAGATTTGAATCCAGAGACAACATGAAATGCAACCCACTAGATAATAAATTTCTGTGCTGGTAGAGAACAGATTACATCTAAAGGAAAGTGAAAAGACATGTATCTTGAACTTTCCAAGGAACTGAGGCAGTAATGGAACATGAAGATAGCAGTCATTATTAGAGTGCTAGGTGCAGTTCCTAAGAGCTTATGAAGAAAACTATAAGAACTGGAAATCAAGGAAAATGTTGGAACTAACTAGATACCAATGTTGTAGGTGTTTTCTGCAATTCTAAGTAGAGTGCTAGAGTACTAAGGAGGCTTGCTGTCCCTTAATCTTCAATCCAATGGTAGTTATCAGTTATTACCGATGTAAACACTATGAGTTGGAAGCATCCAGATGATGGCATTAACGAAATCAGTTAGAATACTAAGAAGTGTGGAGGAATATTGGGGAGACTAGTTATCACTTCATCTCCAATGGTAGTCACCAGTTATTACTGATGTGAGCAGAGAATGAGATAATATTAAAAATAACTTAAAAATTCATAAATTTTTTTTAGTAAAATTGCTGCTGCTTAATATGTGGGCAGTGTAATGGATATTAGTGTGGGCACTGGGACTGGTGAACTGTTTAAATTCTAACCTAGTCTGTTGCATTGACTTTTGTAATAATGCAACTGGGAAAGGCATGAATTTGTCTCTTCTCCTCCCCACAATGGGTTAAATAATGGAAAAGACTGCTCTCTCTAGGCTTGAGTAGCAATCAGTCTAAGAGAAGGAAAACTCTGAATTCCAAATTGTGGAGAAGGCAATGAAAAACTACTCCACTATCTTTCTCAAGAATGTTAGGTAATTCACATAAAGAAGAGAAATCAGTGGAAAGTTATAATCACCCATATCCTAAAAAGATATGGCATTTAAAAAAATAATCTACTGCTGGAAAGAGTTTAAAAAAAGTCTTTATATTTTCAAATTCAGAAGGAGATTTTTTTGTCCAGTTAGTAGCATTAGTATTATTTTATTTTATATTTTATGAAACAATATCAACCATTTTTATTCATTTTTTACTACTATTTAAGTTCATTTTAATTTTTTATCTGCTTTGCTTTTTTTATTGTAACTTTACTCTTTTTCTCAATCCACAGCGGTGAGTCAACAGTGTAGATTGGAAATAAAATATAAGCTTTCTGTATGATTTGAACTCAAATCCCCTTTTACCTCATGGAAGTCTGGTGAATGCTGCACTGCTTTAATTGCTAAGCTATGAGAAATTGACAATTTTGCTGATGGTCAAATCAAACCTGCAACCCATTGCTCCATTCCATGACCATTATCACTACTATAATCGTTTTTTGTTTTTTCTTACACTAGTAGTATTAATAAATGTGATTTTTACAGAAGGAAGTTGAGAATATCATGGACAGAATATGTGAGCAATGATGAAGTTTGAGAGAAAATGGAAACAAAAAGACACTTATACTTAACATCAGGAACAGACAGTTGAAATTTCTAGGGCATATAATGAGGAAAGAAGGTTTGGAAAATGTGATACTCACAAGACAGATTGAAGACAAGAAGGATAGTGAAAAGCAGTGAATAACCTACTTAACAAACTTGACTGGTTGGTTGGTTTTCTTTACTGTCATATCAACCTCTATGTGTTATTTAATGTTGAAATCTAAATATTTTGTATTTGTTTTATTTTATTTTTTCGGAGATAATAATGGTTTTAGTGATTCAAATATTCCTAATTATCCCATAGCTGGATTCATACTTTTCCCAAGAGTATTTGTGTGTAAGTGAATATAATGAAACCAGTTGGATTTGGAACTCAGCTGTCCATTTAATAATTCAGAGGCATTATCCATTAAACCACCTGCACAACCAAGCTTACAGCACCTGGTATTCCCAAACAGTCACCCATCTAGGTACTGATTAGTTTCAATGTTGCTTAACTCTGGTGATCATATAGGAACCAGTGTTTCAATGTGATGTGTCTGTAAGCCTAACAATCTTGAGTAAATGGATGATGGAGCAAAGTTTAAGAGAGATGACAAAAGGACAAAATTTATTAGAAGCTACAAAGGGCAGGAAATTGTGGAGAGCCATGATTGCCTATGTTCTAAAGGGTTATGATACATAGAAAAAGAAGTATTAATATTAGAACAGTTTGGCTATCATTGATTCAGCGGCCAGGAATCCAATTCAATTAGTAAGCAATCTGGTACTAATTTTCATGAGAGCAATTTCAGATTACCTGGATTACTGCACACAATTGCTACTGTTTGCTTGTAAAACTCTCTTTTGGCTTCATGCTTCCCAGCCAACTTTTATTGTCAAAAATTTAAGTGCAATGACAATCATTATCTTCTGTTTTCTTAATTCCTGTTCTTTTGTTGTACTCTCTCCTTAATAATGTTTTCTTTTTCTATTCTTTCAGACTCAGTAACCCCTTGTATCTTAGTGGCTTTATTGCATTATTTGGGGTGAAATGATTAAAAAAGATATTATTCTTTATTAGACAAACAACTGTCAGTCATCATTATTATTATTATCTTTCAAGTTGAACACTATCATAGATTGACAAATTAAGCAAATTCACAAAAAGTAAATAAAAATTAAGATGTAAGTAAAAAATACTCAAAATTAATCATCTAGTAGGAGTTACATGATTATTACTTATCATAAGATTTGTTTATATCTACTTATTGCAATAATCTGCAGAATGTATAATATATTCTTATGTAAAGAAGGACTAAGCACTTTGAACCCTGACCACTGCTTTACCAGTGATAGAGAAAAATAGTGTAATGCTCAGCTACTGGTTGAATAGTGGTAGAGAAAAATGACTTAATGCCCAGCTAATAGCTGAATGGTGGGTAAACACTTGTAACTATTTTTATATCTACCATGAAATATTACATAGCAATTATTTGTAAATTTTGACTCAGGAGTTCAGGCAGGGTTAGGGTTAAAATTGTTCAGGGACACAGGGCTGAAAGGACTTAAATGGTAAAAAAAATCCAACTGTAAAAATAAAACTAAATTTGCAAGTTCAATCCCCACCCACAGTGTCAAATGAAAGCCATATCAGTATTCATTTAAATGTTGGCATTAGATTTTATTTATGTTGAATATTCAATTTAAATTTTCCCTCACAAATAGTATCATCTTATTTGAATGAATTGGCAAATATTTTAAAAATATTCTGAATTGCATAAGTCATGTTTGGTTAAGTTTGAACATGTAACCCAGTTCCTGGCAAGCATGCATATACCACTGAAACATGGTAGCTTCTTTAAATATAAAATCATGTCATTAATATTACTATATAATCTACTCCTTAGACATTAGAAGTTACAATGAAAGCATTATTTACATTTGATGTAAGTCAAAGTAAAAAACAGGAGGAATAATATTTCAGATACTTGTAATCTAAAACTGGAAATTAAATGGCAGACTAGCAATCCAATTCATAGTGTTGAGCTGTTGCGTGTGATATACAACAGAGATATATTTGAGTGCTGCTTGTTATTCTTTTATGAAACTTTATATTAGCAAAATGATGAAAGAGGTTTTAGGTTTAGTAAAAGAGTAACATAAGATTTACACCAAAAGCAGGATATAATAAGGCCCAAAGCACACCACTTTTAAGATTATAGACTTACTTGAGGACCCAAACGACCAGTAATACCCTATAAAGAGAAAAACAGATTAATTAGAATTTGAAATAAAAGAACTTACATGTGGTCCGGGTGGACCAGGCAAACCAGGAAGGCTCTGATGAAAAAAAAAAAAAATATCAAGATAAATATAATTATTAAAATTACAATTTTCTGATTATTATTAGATTAATGCAAAAAATTTATAGTATTTTTAAGAAATCTTTTCATATCATCATTATTCAGTCATCAAATTATTTTCCTGGGCTTTCTATGACCTTATAGTGAATCCTGATAAAAATAAAATATATAAACAAAAATAAAAATAATTCAGATTAAAATAAGGCATTTAGACTTTCCTTTAAAATCTTTATTTTTTTTTCTCTCTTTCTCTAAATTTCACTTTCTATACTTCTCTCAACATATGAGAAGACAACCCTCAAATAAGAAGTAGAAGAAAAAGAAAAGACTGAACCTGGTAAAAATCACCAGAAGTTTGCAGCAGAGCTTACTTATTTGTAACTGAAAAATATCAAAAATCAGGGAGGCTCCATGCATAACTTCCATTATAAATGAACAGTATGGCATTGTCTTGACAAAAATCTTGTCATTGGTATTCTACAAAGATTACTAGTGAAAAGATTTTGTTAAGACAGAGTTTCTTTCTTACTACTGATAGTGTATCCTCATATTTACTAGAGTGGAGTCAGGTGTAGCCAAATGACCCATTGTTCTTAAAGAGGTCATTAAAGACCAAGTTATGACATGTTACCAGTTGACCTTTGCATTATGGGATTGTAATGAATCCCCCCCCCAAAAAAAAATGTTTGTTATGTCAAAATACCAAAGGACACATTCATCATGCTAAAGAAAATAAATACAAATATATTATTTATTTTAAAACCTTGAGTCAGTTTTGTTTTATGCCCTATGTTTCTAAAAAAATAATTATTCAACCACTGATCCACACTAGTGATGTTCTGATATGAACACACTTGTCACACTGGTGACCCTGACATGATTGGAACATGCAACCTTTAGATGTGGCACACTTGTCACAGCCTAATGCCACCTTTCAGCTGAATTATGTATTCTATTATAAAACAATTATTTCTCTTTTGTTTTAATTAATTCTACAATATTTTGAACTTGTTGGCACCAGTGACTAGCCAAGTACTGTTGTATCGAATAGAACAAGTGATTTTCTGAAAGTGGCAAATACATTTTATGCAGAAAAACTTCCCTTTCCAGTGCCATTGTAAGGACATTTATCCCTAATTCAACAAAATAAAAAAAAAAAATTAATTACACACATTAATCATACCATTTTTTGCCAACATCACAACTCACAAGCAGCAGCAGTCCATAGAAATAAGTAAACATCCACGCAGACTTTACTGTGTACATATAAATTGCAATTGTCCACACACAAAAATTTCTAGCCTACCTAGAAAGCTGGTCAAATATAAAACAGATCATAAATTGCCTGAATAGCAGTTTTAACAACAGTCCTGATAGCAGTTTCAAACCAGCCAATCAGAAGTCACACATTATGCTGCTCAATGAATTTAACACATGTTGCTCAATGAAAGAACTTTCAATTTATCCAATTCATCATTCAAATTGCTCATAACATTTGGTTCAGATTCCAGTAATTAATAATAAAGGATCCTCTTTGAATTCCAACAAACATTTTCCACTAGCAGATTTGTTTAAGATATTGAAAAGGCTGTCCTGAATCTAAATATGATTTAGAATTAATTTAATAAATATATTTTTCTCCGTCAGTGGCTGTTTTTGTTCAAAAAAGACTTTTCCTGTGTCAAGCAATAAGAGAATAGTTAAACACTAATCAATATTCATCATCATAAATTGTAAATTTTTCCTTATTGAATGATCCAGAAAAAATCATTTTTGAATAAGGGTGTCACTGTCAGAGGAAAAAAATTCTAAATCCCTCTATGAATAATTTTGAATACTATAAAATATTTTTTATTTATTTACTGTATATAAACATGTTGATTACAAGAAAATATGTTATCATTTATTCTTGCAAGGCTTTGAATATTTTTCTCAATGCTTGCAGTATTACTGCAAGGTATGGATGAAGAAGGTTAAATAGATAATACTCAACTTTACTCAAAATCCCAAATTTAGTAAGACCAACTGATGTTAAAACTTGATTGGGGGCCCCAGGCAGTGCTTTGTGACCCCTACTATCTTACCAACATTTCTATACATTACAAATTAAACTAAGGACCATTATTAAAGGATGACAAATTTTTGTGGATTTTGATGTCATTCTACATTTTTTTTGTCCAAATCTATGAATTTGTTTTGTTCATGCTAAGTCCAAAAAGAAAACATTATATAAAATTCACTATTTTTTATCAATAATGTTGAATGTGTTAAAAATTATTCAACTTTTTAACAAGAAAAATCTCAAGTTGATGTTAAAAATAGCCACAAAACATTGTTGATTTAAGATGGAACAATCTATTATGACAGGTCTCTAATTTGTGTTTAGATACATTACATTTATTTTCAATTTTTCTAGTTGAATTCTTCATCTATATTGCATATGAACCAGTATTGTACATAATTAGGTTACAATAAAATTTGTATTTTATATATTATCTTGAGATATTTTTTTTATTAAATTGAGATGTAGTAGAGTGGAGACCCTGTATCATAGATTTGGTGGGAGCCCACAAGTCCCATGCACTGGCCTGGTAGTAGGATATTGCTTACCAGAGATACTGAGTCAAATTTTGGTCAATACAAAAGCTCTTGATAAAGTAGGTCACAAAGAACTGCTAAGTAAACTTGATTTATTTAGAAAGGATAGTAAAACAATCCAGAACTTATACTGGTAGTAAACTGCCTGCATATGGATAGAAAATGAATTCAGGAGCTACAGAAAAATAGAAAGGGGCATAAGACAAGGATGCATCTTCTTAACAAAATAAACTACCTAATAAGCTTGTCTAAATGGTTAGCAGAACAGGGATTAGGTGAGGTAGCAAAAAGACAGACATTGCTAGGAGCTACAAGGGACAGGAAGTTGTGGAGAACCATGATCGTCCACGTCCTGAACGGACACGGCACATAGATGATGATGATTAAAGATTGGCAATATTTTCTGTCACAGAGGTAATTAATCTAAACACAGCAAAAATAATTTTGATAATTTTCACCTGATGTTGACAATGAGTTATATAGTTTTTACTGATTTAATCAGGTATCCTGCAACTCTCATGCAATGGCATATTTTGAATCTTTATATATATATATATATATATATATATAACTTGAATCTCAATGTCTTTTGAAAAGGAGTAGAGGTTTATCCGTTGTTTCCTGCTAAGGATTGGGTTTCTGGTTCTTAAAGTCTTTTCCTTCTCTTTCACTCCCAGTAGCCCTTTGCATCTTAATGCTATTATCACCTTGCTTAGGATGAACTGACTGATTATATATATATATATATATATATATATACACACATACAGTGTAACCCGGATATAAGAGAGTTGTCGGGACCGGAGAAGAAGTCTCTTATATCCGGGTTTGGTCTAATTTATATACATTACACAGGCTCTAATTTGGGACCAGAGAAAATCTCTCTTATATCTGGGTTACACTGTATGTATATATATATATATATATATAGGATTGGGTTTCTGGTTCCTTTTAAAATCTGCTTCAGCTCTGTACTCCTAATGTCTGTGCCTGAACTTTTATTCACTAACTGTTTATTTAATTTCATTTTTTTTCTCTCCTCCACCAATAGTAGATAGGTTTGCCTGTTGCCTGGATCACTCTTGATTTTTTGAAGAGGTGTAGAGGTTTATCCTTTGTTTCCTGTTTAGGATTGGGTTTCTGCTTTCTTCTAAAATCTGCATCAGCTCTATACTCCTAACGCTTACCCTTTCCTACACTAATCCACACTGTAACCCTCTACCTTTAGTGGCTCTTCGGCCTTGCTGCATAAGGAGAGGGGAGAAGGAAATATTATGACCATAAGTTAAGCTTGATCAATGAAAAATACAGAAACACTAGAACTTTGTCAATGTACTATTGACAGAGGAAAGAAGAGGGTAAGGCAGACCCCATAATTGAGTGAGAATTATGGATGATGACAGAATGCTAAATCGAAAGCAAGAGCTCATGTCAGTTTGAAAGCATAGTAATAGATTTGTAATAAAGAATGTTGGTGTGGGATAAATTTAAAGCCAACACCAATGTGACTATTCTTTGACACATACATTTGGATCTCCAAAGATAACATGCCTTAAGTGGTTGGTAACAATCTGTTTTCAACCCATCTCTGCTCACTCTCCTAGTTATGAAATATATACCACAAGTTAAATGTAGCTGTCTCTTCTACTCTAATAGCTTCATGTCTCGCACTTCCCGTCTGTGGAACTCCCTTCCTCTTAATTGCTACCCTGATAGCTATATTCTCCAAATATTCAAATGCAATGTAAAAGAAAAAAAGTCACATAAATATACAATTGAGTATCTTGTCTTTTGAACTATCTGAAGATTCTGAGACGACAGTATAACAAACTGAGCGTCCATGAAACATTAACAGGAAAGCAGTAATATTTGAGTATCATATATATATATATATATATATATATATATATATATATATATATATATAATATGTGTGTGTGCAATTTCTATATATTATTTATATATTATATATGTGTGGTACTCAATATCAGTGATAGAGCTAACATATTTAGTCGCATTGATGTGAGTTTGTGACCCTGGGTTTCACGGTCTTGTGATCATCAAACAAACAGTTTATCTGATGATTGCATGAAGCCCAGGGTCACAAACTCATATCTATTTCTATCTATCTATCTATCTATCTATATATATATATATATATATTAAATTTAGCCAGATACAAAGCTTGAGAGACACAAAATATAGGCTTATGGTCATAATGGTAATCATGAATGAGGTGTGTTAAATAAATGTAAGAAGAGGTGGTAAGAAGTAAAGATTATGAGGATAAGAAGGATAGATAACAATTGACCTTTGATTTGAAAAAGTCAAGATTTAAATGCTAAGGGAAGTGTGTGAATCTGCTACTAAAGTTATTTGGTTGAGTTTCCAACTGCAATTTCAACCATAATTTAACAGTTTATAAACTGACTCATTAAATCAAACATGTAAAAACCTAGCCACAGTTTGAAGCCAACTTGAACAACTTTAGTTTGGCCAAAGCCAATGTTTATATTAGCATAAATCTGGATATTTTATTTTTTTCTATATCTTATGAATTATTTTAGAATACAACCAATTATACATTTTAAGTTCCTTAAAACACAATTTTCATTTATTATAATACAGTTTATATTATATAAATTACATTAGAAATATAGAATTCTATTTTCCACATTATTAGAATAATCATTAAAATTGATAAAGTGCTAAGATGTTCATATGTAATTGCATTTATAACATAATTTCTGTTTTTCAATATTTTATAAGATTCAAGTTCCAAGAATTAAAGCCAGGATTGATGACCAGTTTCTAAAGATTAAAGTCAGGATTATGGTTAGGTCCCATGGATTAAAGCAATACAAAATCTTTAAAAAAATGTCCGAATTCAGCTAAGTGAAAAATAAAAATTGTTATTTTAATCAAATTATTTTTAAATTTTGCAACAAATATATGCATATAATCTTAATAAAATAGAAAATATCTTTTAGATATTACTGAATATGCTATATAAATACATGTTAATTGTTACATATTTCTGATAAGGTAAAAATGTGTTACCGGTTCACCACGGTCTCCTTTCTCTCCTTTCTGACAAGAGCACATTGAACCATCTTTGCCAAAGCCAGGTAATCCTGCTGGACCAGGTGGGCCCTGGGAATAATAAAAAAATATATCTGTAATAATGTACATAGAATTGGTTCTTAAATTGAGTCTCTTTTATCATTGATAGTCAATGTTTCTACAATTAAGATTAAAAATAAAGAATTATTTTATTATCTTTCAAAATCATTATGAATAATAATTTATTATAGTTTCATAAGGGTTACTTTACAATTATTAACATTCTAGAATCAAAATTTGAAAAATAAAGTAATTACTTGCAATTATGAAAAAGTAACTATAAAATGAATTTAGCTTATAATTACCATATTTTTTGGTGTATAAAACATACATTTTTTATCTTAAGATTTAATGTCAAAATCTGCTTGTGTCCTATTAACCAAAGTTATTAAAATTTTATATAATATATTTATATATATATATATATATATATATATATATATATATATATATATATAATAGGAAAAGAACAATGAGATTTATAATTCAGAGTTCTTAGCATTTATTTTTATTTTTAAAAAACAGTGCTCGATACAACAGTGGAGTATAATATTATAATTGTTTTTTTTTAATATATAATCATCACAACACCAAAATTTCCATGTTTCAAAACTAAAACCTAAATTTAAATTCAATCATATAAATTAAATTTAAAATACAAAGTTCCGTTCCATTTTCAAGTGATGCTATGTATAAGATGCTAAGATTATCCTTAGCATTGCTTGAAAATGGAATTGAACTTTGTATTTTAAATTTGATTTATATGATTGAATTTAAATTTAGTTTTGAAACATGGGAATTTTGGTGTTGTGATGATTATATATTTATAAAAAAAAAAACATTATTATATATATATATGTGTGAGGTTTAGTTCACTTGAATATTTTACTTATAGCAATAGTACAGATTTCAAATGTGAAATACACATCACCAATCAGAGTGCTTAATGCAGCTAATGTCATTAAACGCTTAATTGGCATTTTAATTTTCGTTGGATTCTCAGCAAAACCCTTCTTTAAAATAAGAATGCATCTTATACACCAGTGTGTCTTATATTCCAAAAAATATGCTATTTATGATCATGACATTTAATTGGAAGTAATTGAAATAAGAAATAATTATTATCTGAATATCAGCTGTATAAAAATACTTAGAATCTATATAAGTAAAGGAAATAAATAGTAACATATTCAAATAATTAAACAATAATATATATATATATATATATATATATATAAACACTCATAGAATAAATATATTTAATTTCTTATATAAGCCTTTTCATAATATACATTGTTATAAATTATAAAGCCAAAATATAAAATCAATTTAAATATATATTTACAAACTCTGAATAAAATTCAGATGATATATTAAAAAAAATATCTAAATTTAAAACAGCAATAACATTTATAAGTACATGCATACATTAATATACAAGTAAAAGACAAAAAAGTTAAATCATTATTAATTAATGTTAATGTATTAATTTAGTAAATGCATTGGGTTATTTCTAACTGTAAAAAGGTTCTGCTGACATTTAAATATTCATTATATATAAAAATGAAAAACATTTTTCCCTCAATGAATGCCATTACACGTAAAAGATGCCCACATGACTATTATTAGATAATATGAAATATTAGACAATATTAGATTCAGCATTGAAAACATGATGTCAATATGAAAATGTTCACTTGGTTAAAAATTGATGATTTTAATATATTGAATAATATTGTTAACTTATTAGAGTATTTTATTTATCCAAAATGCTGATTGTCAAAATAAAAGATAATATATGTGGTTTACAAATACAACAATATGTTTTATTAGTTTTGTATAAAAAATGTTCACTGTTTAAGGTTAGTTTTAGTAGAAATCATTTTCTCCTTTTTGTTCAATAAAACTGATCATGTTGTGGAAGACAAAACACATCACAGGCTAAATGAATAATGTTGAATCATGTGTGGAGGCATTTAAAAATGATAAAATTCCACACACAGCAACAATACTTTGTAATACAAGCATCAATATAAATTCATTCAGAAAAAAAGGCCAAAAATAATAGAAAATGTTTAAGAAATGAGAAGAAAAGCAACAAAATTTTGAACAAAAAAGCAACTGTAAACATAAACAGAAAGAAAAAAAAAAGAATTATTAGGACAAAAAATTATTACAGATCAAAATTATTTTTTTTTATTGGTTTTGCAATATGTTTCCATATCTATATTTCTACAGCTATCTATAAATTGCTTTCAAAATAAAATCCTTACATTTGCTTTGATAAGGTCCTTCAGAAAAAAATGCATCAGTAAAAAAAAGTTCAACATTTATCTTTTATTCTTATATATATATATATATATATATATATATATATATTGTTGAATTGATGTGAGTTTGTGACCTTGGCTTTCATGCTATTGTCAGACAAACTGTCTGACAATCACAAATAGCATGAAATACAAGGTCACAAACTCACATCAATCCAACTAAATATATTAGCTCTATCACTGATATTGAGTGTTTTCCAATAAGTACTATGCATATATAATATATAAATAATATATATAAAAATTGCACACACACATATATATATGTGTGAAAACTGTGGGAATATATATATATATATATATATATATATATATATATATATATATATAATTATTTATATGTTATATACGGTACTTATTAAAAAGCGCTCACTATCAGAAATAAAGACTAACATATTTGGTTGGATTATTTGAGTTTGTGACCTGGGTTTCACGCTTTTGCGATCGTCAGACAAACTAATCAGTTTGGTTGACGATCGCAAAAGCATGAAACCTAGGGTCACAAACTCACTTCAATCCAATATAAATATATATATATATATATATATATATATATATATATATATATATATATATGAATGAAAAGTTTTCCTTTTATCTTTATTCATATATATGAGTTAAAGCTCAAATGTAGATCAAATATGGATCAGCATCCAACAGGGTTGATGTAATAAAGAACAAATAGGAAACGTATATCAATCTAACATGTTTCACTTTTATTAAAACTTTGTCAAAGATTGAGAGAAAACAGAGTTCCTGTCTTTTTGTCTGTTTTCTCTCAATCTCTGCTGAAGCTATAATAAAAGTGAAACATGTTAGATTGATATACGTTTCCTATTTGTTCTTTATTTCATCATAAATATGTATAAATACATATACATACACACATGCATATATGAGTAAAGATAAAAGGAAAACTTTTCTTTATCGATGTATTTTGTTCTCTGATGGACTTTATCAAGGCAAATGTAAGTATTTTATTTTGAAAGCAAGTTTTTATATATATATATATATATATATATATATATATATATATATATATGTGTGTGTATAGTGTTAAAAGATTTCTTATAGTTTTATATATATTTAAAATGCAGTCTGACCAAACTATTCATATATCACTTGAATGAGCACACAAATTGGGATTAACTTTCTCAGTGGTCATCTGTGGCTCATGCTATTTTAGTTGCAAAATAGTGATTGGTTCAGTGCAACATGAATGTGAACATTTACATGCAATCATTAGAATGTTGAACACAGAAAATGAAAAAAAATTATTATCAGTGATGAGTGTCTATATCATGCAATATACATTGTTTAAAATACAAACATTATACATTTGTGAAGAGAGGAAGCAAAGAAAAATAAAACTTTAGCTTATAAGTCATGAATTCTTTTAATATATTTTTTTAGATTATCCAACACATTAGCCTTATTTGTATATGTAAATTTGTATTACTGATAAGTTTTTATTTCATCATTATCTACATTTTTGGTGATATTTTTTCAGTGGAAGGTGATATAATATCAGATGAGAAGATAGATTTTCTCTATTGAGCTGTCATGAGTTCAACCACTCTGCAGTTTGCCTTATCTATGATCTTATCACCAGAATATCATGATAGTAGATGATTATAATGCACTTCATAGTAATTATAATATAAGTAATGCTTCGGCAACTTGCCATCACACCTGTATTAATTTGTCTGAAGACTGACTCTGAATGGCTTTTTTTTTAACTCTAACCTGGAACTCTTTATTTCTAGTTATTAACCAGTTTATATAGTTACCAGGGGTGTACTGATTACTCCACAATATGAAAATGAAAAGAAATTAGTATATGGACAATCAAGTCTCTTCTAAATAATTATACTGAGTTAGCCAAAAGGTCGTTTCTGTTTTCTTTAAAGATGTCATTAGGAGTATTCATGTTTAACAACAAAGATGAAGACAATAATCCAAAAGTTAATTATTTGTAGTACGTACATTCTAAAATAATTCTTTTCACAGTATTGTGTCAGCTGCCATCTCAGTATGCATTTTATTTTTTTAAATTTTGTCAAAATAGGCATGTTTTTTTATTTATTGATTTTCAACATCACAAGCCTTTTTTTAAGAAACATAAAAATATGATTCAAACTGCTTATATCTATTTTTATACTTATGGAGAAGGCACTGCAAATGATCAAACATGTTAAAAATGGTTTGGAAAATTGTGAGTGGGAGATTTCTAACTGAAGATGTAGTGAATATCTTTTAGTCTTGGCTAACTTTAGCTGTGAAAGCTGGAATTGCAGGGCAGTAACAGCATGGAAAGTACAATAAGAAGACTTGTACTTTCAGCCAATGTTGTTTATATACACTTTGCACTAATTGCCTTGGGAATAGCATGAATGTACTTCTCTCCACTCATCTAGGGAATAAGCTGAGTAGTTGGAGCCCTTTATTTCTGTTCAAGTAAGAGAAGGTTAATCTGAAAGAAAAAGAACTACAGTTTTACTATCTCATAGCTAATGTTGTGTCTGCTTGATAAATTTAAGATGGCTGAGTATCAAGCCAACACTGTGCAAGAGTAGAGGTTTATCCCTTCTGTTTAGGATTGGGTTTCTGGTTCATTTTAAAGTCTTCATTCTCTTTCACTCCTAGTAGCCTCTTGTATCTTGGAGACATTATTGCCATGCTTAGTGTCAACTGATAAAA